AGTTCCACTCTGTCCTCTAGGGGCGCTGTGGGTCAGAATGGACTCCAGGCAGTGGGTGTGGTTTGGGCTTTACTTCTGTGAAGATTGACAGCCTTGGAGACCCTGTGGGCAGTTCCACTCTGTCCTCTAGGGGCGCTGTGTGTCAGAATGGACTCCGCGGCAGTGGGTGTGGTTTGGGCTTTGCTTCCGTGAAGACTGACAGCCTGGGAGACCCTGTGGGACAGGTCCACTCTGTCCTCTAGGGGCGCTGTGAATTGGGATTGACGGAACACGTTTCCAGGTGCACCTGTGTCAGGACATGCTACATTTCTGGCACAGCACTGGGCCATCGTGGGGATGACATGCTGTGCTCACCCGTCCCTCTCTGTGTACACCTCCCTCCCGGGCATACACTTGGGTGTCCTGCCTGCCCTTCACAGGCCAGCTAGGGCATTCTGGAGGAGGGACTGGAGTGATTTATCAGCTGGCAAAGCCACAACACCCACTGGTATCTGGTGGGCTGCGAGCCCTTCTCCCTCAGAGACACCGTGGAGCTGCTGAGAGCCCAGGGCCTCTGGCGTGAGCTGCGAGGAGGGCTGCGCGTTCCCAAAGGCCCCTGGCCTCCCACCTGCAGTGGGTAGGACATGGTGCTCCCCTGCAGGGGCTGGCAGTCCCGGGAGGAGTAGATCAACACGAAGGCCACTGTGGCAGTGACGGCAGCCACCAGCACGGCTTCAGTCACCTGCAGGCAGGGCCGGTGGATGTACCTGGAGCAGAGGGAGCGCCGTGGTGGGGCTGCAACATGGTGGACAGATGGACACACACAGCGACACACCACACAGCAGTGACACACACAGTCAATGTTACCATGCAACATGCACACACAGTTTACACACCACACAACAGCGACACCTCCACACGTAACACACAGATACCCCACAGCCACTGAACATCACCCAGACACACCAAACACAAACCCCCACGTGACACAGTGAACATTACCCACACAACACACCACACACACATCACACACAGTGACGCACCACACACCCGTGTGACACACACTACACCCCCCCAACATGCCACCCACCTCACACGTGGCACAGCGACATACCTCACACATATCCCGCGTGGAGACACTCCACACACCTCACACACGTACACACACTGAACATCACCTACACAACATGCAGACACAGCACACCCTGCCACACGTACATACACACAGCAACACAACACCCTACATGAGCACATACGCACTGACATCACACCCAGACCCCCCTCAACGCACTACACACATTCTACAGATACACATACACCAACATACCACATACAGATACAGACACAGCACACAAATGCAGACACACCCACATGCACAGAGACACACCCCACATGTGGAGACACACAACACAGACACACACACACCACATATGTGCAGAGACACACACCACAGATATACACACCACACACGTACACACACCAGACACACTACACAGACATGCACACTGCACACGTGCACACACCACACACACCAGACGTGTGCCCCTGCAAAGCCCCCACAGCTCCGTCCCACTGGCCGTCAAGGCCTTGGCCCAGGTTTACTCCCTCACCCACCCTCACCCCCAGTGTCCCTGGCCCAGCTTCTCCCCTGTGGTGATAGCTCCCAGCAGCCCGCACACCGTGTGGACGAGGGTGCCTGAGAGGCCCCAGGATCACTCTGGTCACGTCTCGCCCAGAGATGGCTGCACTGGCTGGCCAAGGTGAAGACATGCCGCCCATGGGCTTGGAACCCAGGCTGGAGGCAGGAGCCCGGAGGGCATGGCACCAAACGTCCCCTAGCCTCAGTGTATCACCAGTCCCCAGGGCACACCCCAGCCCCACACACATGCCCTTTCTAGAACACTCGGTCACTAGCCCCACAGAGCAAACACGTAGCCCTCCACCCGCACAGAAGGTCCCGCACCGTCAGCCCAGCACACGGATAGGATCCTCACCTGATTCTGAACATGGTCAGCCAATAATTCAAGGCGTTGAACACGGCCCCCAGGATGCCTCCTGTAGCCAGCGACCAGTGACAAGACAGCACAAGAGGAAAGGGGCACACTTACTGCCCAGTACCCCGTGCACCCCAACACCACCCACGCACCCGAGTACCGCTGGCACCACCACATACCAACAGCACCCACACAGCCCAGGACTACCTGCACTGATACTGCCCATACCCCACCACCACCCACATACCCTAGTACTGCCTTGCACCCCAACACCCACCCTGCACCCCAACACCACCCATATGCCCCAGTAGTACCCATGTACAGACACTCGTGTGACCAAGACCACTCATGCGCCCCAGCCCTGTGCCCCGGGACTGCCCCCCGACAGCACTGGCACCACTTGTGCACAGCAACACTGCCCATGAGCCAGTGCCCCGGGGAGAGCAGCCCCGTAGCCGCGTGGGGTCTGCACCAGCGGGCAGCCTCCTCAGCCTCCCCGGGGAGCTGCTTTCCTGGGGGGGGGGGGCGCATCCCATCCAGGCCCGCTCAACCCCCGACCGAGGAAAACCCACATTCCCCGCCTTGGCTGTCCCTTCATGGGAAGGGAGGGAAGGATCGGGAACACAGCCCTGCACTGCTGCTTGGCGTGGGCCCTGCAGCCAGTGTGCATGGACCAGTGGGGGTGGAGCCCCCCCGCAACCCTGCCCCAGCCCAGTGCCGCCACACCCCTCAAGTCACACAGTGGGGGACTCCAGCCCCAGAGCCCCTTCATCTCAAGAGGGACCTCAGGAAGGTGCCTGGCGGGCAGAGGGACTCATGGCTGTCATGGTGGGGGGAACTCACCAACAACACCCATAGCGATGAAGATGGGGATCTCGTGGATGGTGTAGACCATATTCTGGGGGGTGGAGGCAGGCTGTCAGAACGCGGGCCACACACACACACACACACACACACACAGACGCGCACGCATGCACACGAAAACTCCTGGCACGTCTGTCACAGGAGTGTGGACAGCAGGAGCTGAGGGGCCTATGGCCTCTGCACTCATGGTTGGGGCCCTGGGCAGGCACTGGACAGCTTCTCCTTTTCTATGGTGCTGACTGTTCCTTGCTCAGAACCTACAACTCTCAAACGGCCAATTAAGGGCTCTGCCAAGGAGGCAGACAGGGAGCAGGGAGGGGCAGAGGGCACTAGGGCACAGGGTGACCCCTCACCAGGGGTCCAGCATGTACTCGGGCACAGGCCTCACTGGGGAGAGCGTTCTCGGCCTGTGTTTCTGACATGGGGGCTCCATGACACAGCACCAGCCCTCTGTCCCCTCCCCGGCCCAGGGCAACAGGACACCCATCTCGCACTCAGCCCCTGTGCCCTTCGCTGAGCAGACCATCCTGGGGACCCTGGAGCTCATCATAGCTAAGGGTGCACCACATCCAGCAGCCCCCCACCCAGGGCCCAAGGACGCAGCCCAGCACCACAGAGACACCCATGGAGCAGCAGGGACGTTACCTTCGTGTCAAACCTCCCAAAGTTGATCAGCCCTGGGTTCGAGAGGTCCCACACATTCCCGTGGTAGATGCTGAGCACGCAGTTCAAAGTGAAGGTGGAGATCATAGAGGCGAAAAACTGGGCGGGGTCATACCAGAGGGAGCAGGGTCACACCCAGGTCACATGGGGAGTTTTCAAGGTCACACCCAGGTCACACTGGGGGGCATCAGGGTCACACCCAGGTCATACGGGGGGAGTCAGGGTCTCGTGGGGGGCATCAGGGCCATGCCTGGAGGCGGTGTCAGGGTCACACCCAGCTCACACGGGGGGGGGGGGCCAGAGCCACGCCTGGGTCACAGAGGCGGGGGCAAGGGGTGGGCGGGATGCCCTGGGGACTGGCCATCAGGGCCACAGCAGACCTGCACCCAGTTCACAGAAGCAGGGGGGCAGGGTGCTTAAGGGCAGATCCCACCAAGAGGAAGGAGGAACATGGTGTCGGTGTGAGTGGGAAGGAAGGGTGCATGGTCTGGGGTCCTTGGACTACGCTGTCCCACTATGGGAGTCTGGAGGGTCAGTGTGGACAGAATGGCCGACCCCCATGACCAATGTCGAGCGCAGCAGGAAGGGGACAGTGAAGCCTGGTGGCGACTGGGGAGGGGCACGTGGAGCCCGTGGGACCTGGCCTAGAAGCAGGACAGGTCTGTGACCCTGACCCCAAAGCCCGGAGCCTGGGGGTGGTAACCCTGACGCAGACAAGGCAGGTGAGGGTCAGCCAGGGTGGCACTTACGATCCTCCAGGTCAGGAACTGGTTCCAGAAGGAGGCACCTTCCTCCAAGCTGAAGAGGACGCCACCTGCAAAGGCCAGGGCTGCCTGACACATCCCTGCCGTCCCCAGGGCTGCCAGGTGGGACCCCAGCCCACGCCTCACCCTCACACCCAAGACCCACGGGAGCTGAGGCCTTCGTGGGGCAGGGGGTTGAGTGTGGGGACGGGGTGCGCCCACTCCACAGCTGCTGTCTCTGACCTTCCCATGGTGACCCGCCCCTTGCCCACCAAGCACAGGGAGCCGATACCCCAGGCATGTCCCCCCAGCACGGGACAGAGTCCAGCCCCACAGCTGGGGGAGGCAGAGCTGCCCTGGGGACAATGAGCCAGCTCCTCTTACCCACGGGAGCCCCGAATGCGGCTGAGACGCCGGCCGCAGCTCCTGCAGAGACAAAGTCCCGCTTCTCCGTGTCTCTGCGGAAGTACTCGAAGATCTAGAGTGGGGACAGACGGATGGGGTTCAGCTGGGCCTCCAGGTCACTGCTCCCAGAAGAAAGGCCCTTGTCTGGAGCCTCCAAGACAGGCAGGAAGAAAGAGGCACTAGGACAGGGCTACGCGGGAGTCCGTGGACTAGAGAGATGCGTGGGGGTGGGGGCTCCACGGGCCCCACACACCACACTCTGTCGGGCTCAGGCTTGGACAAGCCAGCTGTGGGAAGCAAACATCCCAACATCTAAAGCCAGCTCTGCCCTCTCCCACCACGAACCCTGCCAGGGCCTTCTCTTCAGAGAGCGGCCAACGACAGAGGGCCTGCCACCCGAAGGGCCTGCGGCCACAGTAGTACCACTGGGGGCGTCGGGAGGTAGACTTGCCCTCAAGGGCTCGCTCAGCCAGCAGAGCTCTGAGAAGGCAGGTCCTGGGGCACCAGGTGCCCGGAGCAGGGGCTGAGCTCTCTGGGCCCCTCAGCCTCATGCCCACCTGTGTGCCCACATTCACGCCAGGGTAGGCGACAGGACTCACCTTGAAGTCGCGCTTCAGTGATGTGGACCTGCCCTGGGAGATGCCAGCAGCAATCACAGAACCCGAGTGAATCATGGGCCCTTCCTGAAAGGAAGGGAGGGCGCTCAGATGGGGCACTGGCCCCCGGGCAGATGCCACAGGGGAGACGACGCTCAGACGGGACGCCGGCCCCAGGGCAGATGCCACAGCGGAGACGGTGCCACACGGGAGGCATGTTACCTTTCCAACAGCCAGGCCGCCCACCACAGACAGGATTACCCCCGACACTTTGATCACCAGGGTCTGAGACACAAGGAGAGACTCTCATCAGTGACTGAGGACAGACGCTGTCAGAAGACAGGCCAACCTCACACATGCGACGCAGCCGTGACCAGGTGGCTTCAGCACAGAAGCTGTGAGGGGGCCCCAACCCTGGGCCTGCTCCCCTCCACCTCGCTGGGTATGCAAGTCCACAGCACACACAATCACGCACACCCCACATCTGGTCACGCACAGCACACGCACGGGGTGGCAGCTGTCTGCCCTGCCCCAACTCCCAAGCATCTCCTGCCACTCACTGCTCACCAGCAGTTCTCAAGGCCCCCCGAGCAGCTCCCCCAAGCCCAAGCACCTCATGAGTGCCGCCCAGCCCGTCCCTCCTCACCCTTCCTCAGAGCCCAGCCACACGCAGCAGCACCTCCAACCCACCTTGAGCCGCACCACGTGGGGGATCTTCACCCCGTTGAGAAAGCACTTGATCTGGGGGATCCCACTGCCTGCTGCCACCGGCTGCCAGGAAGGGTTGGCACTGATGGGGGCGCCCGGGCCACGGGAAACTCTCCCCCAACCCGCACTGGGGGTCAGACCTTGGGATGGAGGGAGCGGGGAGAGGAGCCCACAACCCGAGGGCCAAGGACCATGGTGGGGACATCCCCACAGGCATGGGGCCCACGTCACAGGCCAGATGAAAGGATCTGTTCTTCTGCCCTGAGGTGCTTCTGGACACGGCCCCTCCTTTCCCCAGCACCCCAAGAAGGGAGGGAACACGGGGGTGATGGGCGGGGGGCCCTCAGGGAGGAGGGCCAGCATAAGAGCCAGAAGAGGCCTGACTCGGGCCACGGTCCCACCCGCAGGAGCCTGGTTCCGGCCCCTTTCTTCACCTGCACCCGGAATGGGTCTGCCCCCCAGAGCACGCCCCAGCCTGGTTCCTGGCACTTGCCACTCGCAGGGCGCTGGCCACATGTGGCCATGGAGCATGCACGCTGGCAGGACGGCAGCAACCTGCTGGGGCCAGGGCTGGGGTGGCCCAGACTATGCCTTCCCTGTTTACTGGAACCGTGGTGCCCCACACATAACCGGGACCCCTCATCTACGGAACTCCAGGGGTCAGGGCGCGGAAGGGGGCCCTCACCTCGATGAAGGCGACAATCAGAGACCCCGTGAACACGAAGGCTGAGTTGAGCGCCGCCCACAGCAGCAGGGAGAAGGACAGCCCCCCTTTCTCTGTGAACTTGTCAATGTCCAGGCCCGTCAAGGAGGAGCAACCCATCACAGACCAACACCCCACCCTCCTGCTCACCTCCCTGAGTGCGGCTCCTGGCGAGGCACACAGACCCTGACAGGCTGCAACCAGCGAGTGGACAGAGGGCCCTGGGCCACGAGGGGTCCTCCAGAGACCTCATGTGGCCCCACCATCAGCCCCCAGCCGCTCATGCCCATGGCTCTATGACCCTCCACAATCAGCTCCCAGCCACTCACGCCCACGGCTCTGTGTCCCCATCCCCAAGCAGCCCTCAGCCCCTCGCGCCCACGGCTCCGTGTCCCTCCACAATCAGCTCCCAGCCGCTCACACCCACGGCTCTGTGTCCCCATCCCCATCAGCCCCCAGCCGCTCAAGCCCATGGCTCCGTGTCCCCATCCCCAAGCAGCCCTCAGCCCCTCGCGCCCACGGATGGGCTATGGCAGGTCCACGCGGGCCCCTGTGGCCTGAGGATACTGTCCTTAACCACTCTGTACTTGAGGCCGGCCAGGTTCTCCACAACGATGTCAATGAAGCAGGCCACCAGGCCAGTGAGGATGCCGATGAGGGCACAAATGACCCAGCGCTTGATCTCCACCGTCCGGAAGGCCTGTGGGCGGGCACGGCTGTGGGCGGGCACGGCGGCTCTGGCCATGGTGTGGGAGCCCCGCTGCCTGCAGCCCCGACACCCCTGCAGGGCCGCTGTGCACAGCGCACCGCGCTCAAGACCCCGAGAGCCGGGAAGCCCCTGGGAAACCCCTGGGTCTCGGGAGGACCTGAAGCCACCCACCCAGACGGAGGGCGCTGCGGGCATGGTTACTGCAGGGGCACTGACAGGTGGGGGCACTGAAGGGTAGAGGTGCTGCAGGGAGGGGCGCTGTGGGGCGGGGCCCACCCTCCCAGTCAAGTCCCAGTCAGCTGCCAACGCTGAGGCACCACATGTCACCCTGGCTGCCGTGGCCTTGCCCCCCCCCCACCAGGGGCCACAGGCTGGAAGGAGCAGGGCCACAGCCTCACGGGTGCTCACCGTGTGGTTGATCCGCCGCTCCTCTTCCAGAAACAGCTGGTTCTCACTGTTGTCATAGTCCAGGCTCTGCAGGCCGCGTGGGGAGAGAGGTCACCCTGCTGTGTGGCCGGAGGCTGGGGGCTGGGGGCCAGGGGCAACATGAAGGTGGGCAGCTCACCTCATACTTCAGGGACAGCAGCTTCTCATTGTGCGGGATCTCCTTGGGGAAGGGCTGAGGGGGGTCCATGCCCTGTCAGGGAAGGAGAGAGCTGCCCACGTGACCGACTGGACGTGGGGGGCCAAGGGACACATGCCCACACTGAGGCAGCATGATACTACCACCAAAACCAAAGGCATCACAGACAAAATACAGACTGAGCTCCATGAACGTGGACACAGAGCCCCTCCACAGGACGCTGCAAACCGAGCCCCGCAGCACCGCGAGCAGACAGGGTGTGTCCAGGGGCACATGGCTGAGTACCAATCAAGGTGGCGTCCCCCAGCACGAGCACCCAGGACGAGGCCCACACGGTCTTGTCGAGAGACATGGCCACTGGCTGGCTAGACTCAAACAGGCCAACAACAACAAGTGCAGGAGAGACGGGACCCTCTTCCCCCGCCGTCCGGAACACAAATGCTGCAACCGCCAGGTCACAGGGTGGAGTGGCTCCTCAGACAACCGTCAGCACGTGACCCAGCAATTCCGCTCTTGGTATGAACCCAAAGGACTCAAAAGCAGTGACACAAACAGATCCGTGCACAGGGGGCAGACCACAGCACTACTCACAACAGCCCAAGTGTCCACCAGCGAACGGCACGTAAACACAACATGGCCTATGCGCGTGACAGGACAATAGTCAGCTACAAGAAACAAGGCCTCGGGACACGCTATGACATGCTACCCCCAGGCTGCCCAGCCCGGGACAGCAGGGCCAGTGGGTCCGAGTGGTGTGCCAGGGGCCGGAGGAGGCCGGCAGGGTGGGGAAGGACGGTGCCCCCAGAGGCAGTGCAGGTTCCCGCCAGGAACTGCCCAGCAGACGGCCGTCCACACCAGGCTTTGGAGATCCCCCTTTGGCTCTGCTCGCTGAAACTAAGGGCCAGCTCTGCCGAGGAAGGACTTCCCAGAGACCCAGTCGCACCGCTGAGGGCACCCCAAGGAGGAGGTGAGATGCAGGCTCTGCTGCTGGGGGCGCAGAACACCCCACATCCCCCACGGTGACCGTGGGCAGTGCGTGAGCCGGGCCGGGGCTTGCTTGGTAAGATGCCGCCCGACTCTCTACCGCAGCCCAGCCCAGGCCCCAGGGAGTCAAGACCCCATCCCCAGCCTGCCACACTCAGGCCGGCCCTCCACATACCACACTCCACACCTCTGTGGTCACTCAGGCCTCAGAGCACCCCCGCGGCCACCCCTCAGCCCCGCTGCCCCTTGGCCGCACCACCCGCCTGCCACCCACTCACCAGATCAAGGAGTTCACCGTCCTGCTCCATGTTGCTCATCTGTCCCACCCGGAACAACGCTGAGCGGGGCAGCTGCAAGCAGAGGGAGGGGTGAGGTGCTGGGACACTAGGCGTGCTGCTCCAGGAACGTCTGCCACCCACACCGTGAGGGAGGGCTGCAGAGAAGGCCCATGGCCTGGAGTGAGCAGTGAGGCCCCTGGAGTGAGCCCGGGCTTCCTGGGCCCGAAGCCCCCACCACCTCCACGTCCCAGGCCACTTCAGAGATGGATCAACACACCTGCTGCCCCCAGGACGGAGGCCAGCCCCCCACCTGAGCCCACATCCTCCCAGCCGACGCCACCCTACTGGCTCAGCTGGCCCCAGAGACTTGTCCAGCACTGCCTCACGGAGCCAGCCCAACCGGCGCCACATGCCTCAGCCTGCCCTGGGCACTGCACTGCCCTCCCACCAAGGCCCGAACGTAGGGAAAGGGCGCCCTGGGCTGGGGCTCCTGTACGCACACACGTATGTGTGCGCGCACAAGTATGCATATCAACATATGTGCAGAGACACGTGCACACCCACACCCATGTACACACAGACACACCCACACACGTATACATGTACACCTGCACACACACACACACCTGCACACGTGCAGATACACACATACACGTGGATGCACAGATCCACACATGCATACATGCACACACAGGCACACATACACGTGCACACACATAGATACAAACATACCCACACACTCACACATGTACAAAGGTATACATACACGTGGATGCAGATACAGATACACACATGCATAGCCACATATTCATGTACACACACGGGCACACATACATGTCCACACACATACAGATGCACACATACACGTGGATGCCCACCCCCACATATACATGTACACACACACGGGCACACCTATGAATGCACACACACATACATGTGCTCACATGCAGAGGCACATAGTCATGCACACGTCTATACTCAGTGTAATGGAGGAAGCCTATCAAACTCCAGGTATTGCCACCAGCAAACGGCTTACAGCCTGCCCCCTGGCCGCCAGCCTCACAGCCAATGCCTGCTGGTTCCAGCGGGACTTGAGGACAAGCCTCCACCCAAGCCCCCCCACCTCCTGTACCCAGTCTACCCCATGCTCCGGCCCCTGGGGCCCATGGACAGATCCGAGCAGGTCTGCAGCCTTAGCATCTCAGAACCTGGAGTCCCAGGTGGGTGGGGCCCCAGATGGCAGCGCAAGTGAACAGGATCTCCACCGTCAGCCGGGCAGTGAGGAGGTGGGGTGGAGACCGCCCCCCACAGCATCAGTGCCACCGGCAGATGCCTCACCACCACCACCCTGGCTGGCTCTCTCCACTTCACGCCTGTGAGCCTTCCCGAGGAAAGGCACCTGAGGTCCTTGGGAAACCTCAGAAAGATAGTTTATCAGGTGAGAAAAAGCCAGTACTTCGCTTGGCAGGACCCCCACACAGGTGAGTCCAGAGAGGGCGGTGGGCGCAGAAATCCCTGGCTCCAGCCACTACTGGGAGGGCGCGGCCCCGCTGGCCTGGCCCCAGGAAGACCGGGCTCAGGGACAGACTCCTCCCTGGAGGCCCGGTGCTGCTGCGGCCCCACGGCCTGGGCGGGCCTCGGCGGTGGCCACCACACACCGAATGCGTTTCTCAGGGATGTCTCCACGCGGTGGACAGGCCACAGACAGAGCACGACGCGCCGGCTGCGCCCCAGCTGAAAACGCCGGGGGCCGAGGACGGCCACAGCCTGCCAGTGCACCTCCCCCACACCGTCCCTGGTGGCAAGCAAACCGGGCAGCAGACGCCGGGGTGGCCGTGGGCTCCCCGTGCCCCGTGCAGTCCGGCTGCGCCCCAGACGGCTCCAGTGGCTGGTCTGCGGAGGTGGGTCAGCAGCCCCTCCCCCCATCCAGCTCAGTCTGGAAGCTCCGCCGAGACCCGTTCAGCATCCCGGCGACACAGAAACTTCCGGATGGGGGGCGGCTGCCACGAGGTGCGTGGGCCGGGAACCGAACCTGGGCCTCCTGCTTGGAAGGCAAGGGCTGCACCCCACGGCCACCACCGGCTCCCATCCGCGCCACTGCGTCACCGTGGCCCCTGGCGACCCCGCGTGTGCCAGAACGGAACCGTTTTCACCGGCGGAGTTTTCAGAAACGGCTCTCCAGGCCTTCCTCCAAGGCACCCTGGCCGGACTTCAGTCTCAGACCTCAGCTGGCAGACAAGTGTGCTCAGCGGCGCAGCACCAGACGCTGCCGAACAGTGGCGCAGCTGGGACCCTGGGGAGACGCGGTGACGGGGGGCCTCTGCACCGGGGCAGTTTCCTAAGACTCTCCATTTAAAAGCAGCCGCAACTACTGTGGCCGCCTTACACGCGCCCGCATCACTGCACGTCCACCTGTACCCGGCTCCGCACTGAGGCCTGAGGCCAGCAGAGAGCCCTTTCTCACCTTCCCAGCGGGTGGCACTCAAGGACTGGGGACATGTGCAGAAACAGCCCTGCCGGGTCTTTAAACGCTGTCTGACCACCCTCAGCCCCAGGGGGCTCCCCGGGCCCCGAGAAGCAAGGCCTTCGCGCCAATTTCCAGCACTGACCTGGGTTCCTGGCCTGCCGGGGTCTCAGGCGCTGCTCACCCGCCCCAGCCATCCGCTCCAGGCTCAGACAAGCTTCCCTCTGTAGGTTCCCAGACGCCCCGCTCCCTGCTGCCCTCACACATGACCGTGACTTGTCAGCTGAGCTCACTCTCCTGGCCAGCAGGGCAGTCATGCACTCAGCAGCTGCCGCCACCCCCCCTGGGGCGGGGACCAAGGAGTAGGCCACCGGGGTCTGGGCCCCACCAGGGCCGCGCTCAAAGCTGGGCCCGAGCCCCGAAAGGCACAGCCCCAGCCCGTCCCACCTGCAGCACCTGCTCTGCCACCCAGCACCCACACAGCCAGTCTGGCCTCCCCAGCGACTCCCTGGAGGAAGGAAGGGGGCCATGGTGGATAGGCAGGGCCCCAAAGATCAGGTACCTCTACCACCCAGCTCTGGGAATCCTGCCACAACCCACAGGGGCCAGGGGCAGCCAGGGCAGGCTCCCCACCCCCAGTCCTCAGAGCCAGGCTCCAAGGCTGCTGCTGGTCTGGGCAGAGAGGCAGTTCCTGCAGTGTCGGGGGCACGCAGACCCCAGCAGGGAACCCCACCAGTGGCCCGAAGAGGGGCCATTAGCCAGCCTCTAAAAGCCGGGCCACAAAGTCCAACCCCAAAATGAAAACTTCCGTGTCGCAGGCTTCAGCGCTTGTGATGGCGGCTGGAGTGACTGAGAACATGGGTGGCCAGGCACTGGCCTCAAGCATCCATGTGCATTATTGTGTCTACACGTGAGGGAACCTGGGCACAGAGAGGCTATGCCACCTGCCTGAGACCCTCGGCGGGTCCGGAGTAGTGCTCCCAGGACAAAGGCATTGAGTGTGCGTGGCCACCTGCCTGACCGGTCTCCCTGCCTCTAGCTATGCCCTGTCCCCATGTCTGCATGAGGCTGACCCGCCCTGCAGGCCCGCCCTGCCCACCTGCACTGCCTAACTGCCCACACTGCACCCTGACCTTCACTCAGGCCGGGCCCGGACCCCTCTGTGAAGCGAGGCCCTTCTCCTGCCCCTGGGCGCCCACACAGTCCTCACGCAGCCCTGGGCCTGCCCCATCAAGCTTCCCCAGGAGCCCGGAGCAGGGAAGGAAGCTGCGACCGTGCCTGATGCCCACCACCCCCCCAGCACCTCCGGGCCTGCGTGAGCAGCGTCTAGAAGCACTGGGCCGATGACGTCCCTGCAAGGGGGCCAAGCTGCCTCCACCAGCGGAGAGCCCTTTCTCACCCTCCCAGCGGGATGCACTCAAGGCCTGGGGAAACGTGCAGAAACAGCCCTGCCGGGTCTTTAAACGCTGTCTGGGCCGTCACTGCCAAACCAGAACCAAGGGGGAACACCGGGTGCCAGAGAACTGAGTAACGGACAAAACAGGTCAGTACCTGGAGGGCACGCTCGTCAGACGACACACACACACAAACACACACCCAGCATTGCTGCTGTTGTCAGGTGCCGTGAAGTCTATCCCGCCTCACAGAGATCCAGGCTGTCACCTCTGTGGGAACAGCCGGGTCTGCTCCCACACAGAGCTGCCGCTGGGTGCAAACCGCCAACCTTTCACTCAGCAACTGAGAGCTTAACCACCGTGCCACCAGGGGTCCTCACACACAAACACAACAGGAACCAAGCTGCCGAAGTCCCTCTGCAGTCTTGGAACTCATTTAAACACCCCCTGCGCTGGGGCCCAGCGGGCACACTACAGCCACTCCGACTTGGTTAGTGTGCTTGGCTGCGCGTTTCAGGTAGGATTTCCCACTTAGGGAACCGAGGATGAGGGCTCGTCACCCCTGAGACCCCTGAGTGTCACGCCGAAGGGTGGCAGGTATGCCCTTAGTCATCTTCAAAGACTGCTGCTCCCATGCCACCTGCAGCCAGGCCCGGGACTCAAACACCCCAGAGCCCAACACAACACGCAAGGCCTGTTTACGTCACTTATTGCCACCCAAGCAGAAAACGTCCCCGAAGCCCGAAGCCCGTCTCAGAGATGGAGACAGCAAGCGCGTCAGGCCCGCCCACGTTTACGGAACCAGCTCACAATCTCGTGGTGAGCTCCGCTTGTCCCTCCAGGCCTGCGGTCACCTGACCCAGCGCTTCGGTCTCCGCCGTAAGGAGCGCTGTTGGTGCAATGGCTGCTGACCCAAAGGTGGGTGGTGGGAAGCAACCCGCGGCTCCAGGGGCGAGAGACGTGAGCCTCGGCCCTCAACTCTGCAGCCTGGGACCCGCTCCGGGGCGCCACCTGGGGTCGCTACGCGCTGCAACCGCCTGCAGAGCGCCCAACAGCAGGTCCGCACGCTGGTGCGCCGCCTGCTAAGAGGGACCCCCGGCAAGCTCCACACACACCCCGGGCCCCACTTTCTAACCTAAATCGCCGATTGCACGCCCACGTATCCCACGGAGCGGACCGCACCGCGCACGCCAGCCCCAGGCCTGGCCCCCAGGAGCTCGGGAGCCGCGGCACCGTGACCCCTTCCCTCGTCAGAGGCGCGGGCCGTCCAGTCGACC